AATCCAGCCCTGGCTGGAGGAGCTAGGAGGCAGGGAGTTCTCTGGAAGGATAAACGTTGAGAACTCAGCAGATAATTCAGGCAGTAGAGTTAAAGGTTTTTCAGGTTGTGAGTGCTTCCCTGTACTGGGAATGGTCTCCTTGCTCCAGTGCTGTGAGCTGTGCATGTGTGAGCGTGCTGGAATGCCATGTGTGTTTTTGGTTTCCCTTTCCATACTTTTTTCACGTATGGGAGCCAAGCAAGCCCAGACCCGGGCAGGCATGTGCTGGTGGGTTCCTGTACATGGGGAGGGCTGAGAAGCAAATTGTCTCATGGAGGGGCCCTGGAAAGGCCTCGTGATGGAAAAATCTGGAACCATGAGGAGAGGTTGGCACAGGGGGCTGGTTGTGCCCAGAGAGGCACATGGGTGGGTTGCCAACCGGGGTGGGGTCTTGCTGGCAAGACCCAGCCATAGCACTGTTCCCCCCATGCAGGGGTTTGGGGGGCCCTAAACCTCTGCTGCTCTTCCCTTTTCCCCCCTCCCAGGACAGCAAAGGTGAAAAATCAAAGGAGAGGAGCAACACGTAGGGACACAGCCACAGGAATCCCAGCACTAGACTCGGCCCCTCGGCGAGGAGGAAGCAGCTCCTTGGAACGGCTCCTTCCCCGCGCGGAGGTGAGGCAGCGGGATGAGCCACCTGCACTGTGCTCAGGACCAGGCGCTTCCCCCGTGGCCCGAGCGGTGCCTTCCCAAAATCCATCTTGCTGCTGCCCAACCCCCTTCTCCCCCGTGCTGGGGCCGCCAAAGAACCAACCCCCGAGTCGGTCCTTGGCCACACGTGCTCCCAACTTCTCCCCGTTACTAAATGTTCCCCGCTCCCTCCTGGGATGTCCAACTCCGCTGGCTTGATCGTGGTCTCTGTTTTTATTTAAGGAATGAAGCAGCTCCTTCAGTAAAGCTGATTTGTTTCTTTTGGGTATTTTGTTCTTATTTGTTTGGGTAAGCAGCAGTGACGTCCCCCCCCAGCCCAGTTCATTCTTCATTTCAATTTGCTTTTCAATTAGCAAGTTGATTTCTGCCACTTCTGGTGCAGGGGAAGGGCAATGGAGCCGTGGGAAGCTGTCAGGAATGCACTGCCTGGGCAGGAACCACTTAACTTAGGAGCTCCTCCTGATTTTTTTTCTCAACAAACTGTTGGTAACTGTTGTGTGTGAGCTCTCAGAGGGGAATCCACAGGGTAACCCCCATCCCTGCCACCCCCAGCAGCACAAGGGGATGTTTCCACCCTCCCTCTGCCAAATCCACAGAGAGGGGGGGAGGTTTGTGGGCACCCAGCACCCCGACGCTGCCTGAGCAGCCCAGCCAGCACCCAAACCAGCTCGGCAGGGCCAGGTTTGCTCCCAGCACTTGGGTGTTGCTGCTGGGGCTGTGGAGGGTGTTGGAACCCGCCCCAACGCACTGGGCTGGGCTCCGGCCCCACAAGGAAGCACCTCAGCCCTACACCAGCTCCTGCCTCAGTTCCCCACAGCAGCCTTGTGTCCCCTTTGGGTTTGTTGACGCCATGGGGTGGCTGTCACCGCAGCTGTGCCGCGCTGCTCCTGGCTGGCTCTCGTGTGCCGCAGTGCTCTGCATCCCGCATCCCACCGGCCCCGCGGCTCCGGCCCCGCTCCGGCTTGGCCACGTCCTCGCAGCCGTTTGCAAATTGCATTAGGAAACTTGGCAGGGCCGGCTGCTGATTCCTGCCCGTTCCTGCCGGTTCCTGCTGCTCTCCTGAGCACGTGCCGGGACGCCGTGGGGACGCGCCAGCTGCCGGCGCTGGCACTGGGTGAGGGGGATGTCACTGAGCGAGAGGTGGCACAGCCACCCCGTCCCCATCTGTGGCCAGGATGGGGGACTGGCACCCACCTGCTCATTCTCTGTGTGGATCCCTCATCCATGCCTGGCTTTCCAGCAGAAATTCCTTCTTTGTGTGATGTTTGTGACTCTGTGACCTTTTGTGTCTTGTTTCAGCCTCCAAAGCCACGTAACCAAAGCAGAATCCCCTTGTGTTTTAGATGTCAGCATGTGTCATTGATGCATTGGTCACACGACCAAAATCCTGGACCTTACACCCCCATGCTGGGGTTTTGGTGTTTTCTTGATTCCTTTCCTGTGGCATACACATCCCTAACAGCTTTGTAGGAAGCAGACAGCTCTTGTGTGTCATTCCTGGGGCTGATATCCACAGGGACAGTGTCCATCTGAGCTTCCCTGGCAGGACCAGTGCCACCTCTGCTGTCTCCCAGGAGCTGCTCCCTCCCCATGAGCCGTTCTCCCTTCCCAGGAGCCACTCTGCTCTTCCTCGGTACGGCTCTGCCTTTCTCAGGAGCTCACAGTGAGACTGAAATGACGCCTCTGCTGTGCCTGGCACCAGCCACCCTCACCTCCACATCCCCAAAAGCAGCTGCCACCCATCCCCAGCCCAGCTCTGTCCCTGTGGTGGGGCTGGAGGGAGCCCCTTGTCTCTCTGGGGGCTGATGTGAGCCCCCTCCTCTCCCCCAGCCTCACTGGCTCACGGGGAAGGACCAACTGTTGTGTTGGTGGTGCAGGAGCTGCCACCCGCACGTTTGTGCCACGCTGCCTCCGCCTCGGCAGCCGCAGCCTCCTGCCAGCCCCCCACCCACGCCAAATGGAGGTGGGGGGCACGTACCCCACTCCTGTTACACCCAGACCCTGTGGATGGAGCACCACGGCGAGCTCTGCCCTCCTGCAGCCAGGTTTGGCAGGGGCAGGATGCTGGTGGCCCTGCCAGTGCCATGGTGGAAGGGTGGCTTTGAGGGGCAGGGAGGACCCCAGCTCCTCACTTTGCATCCCACCCCCTTTTTCCCCTTCCCTTCAGATCCCGATTTCTACCCTGCGGGTCCCAGAGCCATTCCAACAGCAGCACCAGCAGCAGGCATCACCTTCCTGCCCACATTGCTGTACTATCCCATTCCTCCCCAGTGCCATGCCTCAGTTTCCCTCCCTGGCAGCAGGATCAGGTCTGTGCGTGCTCCAGGGTTTGCCCCAGCCCTTCACGGGGACCTCGTGGAGGAGCTGCCCCAATCTCATGGTGGTTCTCCCTTCCCCAAATGCCTGGCTCCCTTCTCCCAGCGCTGCAGCTGGGAAGTGGGTTAAGGCGCTGGCTTGGGGAGGGATTTTTCCCGGGGTGTAATTTTTCCCTCCTACACACGGTCTGTTTTGAGCAGTGCCTGGAGGCTTCGCACCCCCGGCTCACTGCCGGGGCGGGGGAATGCGCTGGCTGCCAAGTGAGGGAAGCGCCCGCTCCAGATCCCAGCTCGTTAGGAGAAATAACAGCAAATTAATTAAGCCAATAGTTCGCTCTGCGCCAGCAGTGCTGACATGGGGAGAGGGGATGGGACAGGCCAGATCTGGAGCACCTTTCCCAGGGGGAGCGTTGCCCTCAGCGTGGCACAGTGCTCCAGGTCCCTCCTGCTCATGTGGCCCAGTGCATCCCCGTTCCCACCAGTGAATGGGGTCCTGGGGGGTGGCCAGTGGGTGTATCTGTGCCTCAGTTTCCCCTCCTGCTGCCAGGAGAAGCCCCTCTGTGCATGGCTGAACCTGGCCAGCAGCACCATTTGCACCTGCAGCCGAGAGCCCTTGTCCGGATGCTGTGGGGGAAGGGGATGGAGGAGCTCAGCAGAGTGGGATTTTTTGGGGATGTTGGATGAGCTGTGGGGGATCTGGAGGCTGGGGGAACAGAGGGGGGAAGAGCCGGGCCATGCCGTGCTGTGCCATCCCGGCAGGACCTGATGCAGCCGGGGATGGGATGTGGGGACGTGTTTCGCTGCTCTCCGGCAGCCGCATGGATGGAGTTGCCAGGCAACTGCCGGCTGGAGGCGAGCGGGAACAAAGCGGGAACTGCCGGGACCCCCTTCCTCTCTCCACCCGAACCCCCTGGGCGGTGGGGCCCAGCGAAGGCCGTGGGGTCACTTGCTGTGTCCCTCCGGCCGCTGTCACCATCCCACCCCGCAGCTGCCGCAGGGCCGTGGATGGAGCCGGGAGAAGGGGACTGGCCTGTCCAGAGGGTGCAAATGGGGCTGGGGGCCGCAGGCATGGGCAGGGTGGGTGCTCAGCACCCCGCGGGAGCGGGGCAGGAGGATCAGCCCCAGGCAAGCGCCACATCTGACACTGCCCTGCCCCAGAACCTGCCCCAGAACCTGCCCTGGCACCTGCCCTGGCACGCCGGGGCCCGTTCCAGCCCGGCAGACGGCGGAAGTGGGGGGGTCTGGCAGCCACCCCAACCTGCCCACCCTGCCCGCGGGGGAACCCAGCCCCAGGGGTGCCAGGGTGGGGGATCTCGCACCCACCCCCGGCCTTTTCCCACGCTGCGGTGGGTGCAGAGAACCGGGCTGGGGGTCCGGGGGTGGCTCACCCCACAGCTGGGGGTGTGCCCCCCGTGCAGGGGACACTGGGGAGGGTCAGTGCCCTGTGCCCCCGGGCTGGCATGGGGGAATTGTGTGAGTGTGCAGGGGGGAAGCGGGCACGGGGGTGTGGGGCTGTGTCCGCCGGTCGCGGTGTGTGACAGGGGGGTGACAGGCTCTGGGCTGTGCCCCGCAGGCTGTAGGGTGTGTGTGCGGGGGGGGTGCGTGGTGGTACCCCGGGGATGCGACAGAGGAATGCGAGGAGATGGGTGCGGGGGTGCGTAACGCATCACCTGTGCGGGGCTGCGGGGAAGCGGGGCGGGACCGTGTCCTGGTGCGAGCCGGTGTCACCGCAGCCCCGGGCCGGGCTCGGTACCGAGCGCGGCGGTGCGGGAAGGGGGCGGGCAGGTGCCGTTGGCGGGCCCGGGGGCGGCGGCGGTGCGGGGAAAGGGGCGGGCAGGTGCCGGGGTCGGCGGCGGCGGGGCCGTACCGGGGCGGGGCGGTGCTGGCGGCGGGGCCGGTGTGGGGCGGGCGCAAGGCGCAGCCGGTGCGGGGCGGGCGGGGAGCGGTGCCGCGGCCCGAGCCCGAGCGGAGCCGAACGGAGCCGCCACCGCCGCCGATGGGCCCCTGAGCCGCCGCCGCGCCCGGGCGGCCATGAAGCCGCTGGAGAAGTTGCTGAAGAAGCCGGGCTCGCACCTGCCCGTCCGCCCCGCCGCCCCCCCGGGGCAGGTACCGGGGCCGGGGTCGGTGCCGGCGCCGCGGCGGCAGAGCCTGTCGCGCCCGCCCGCCTCCCCCGAGGAGCCGGCGGGGCCCGCGGGGCCGGTACCGGGCAGCGAGGGCCGCTGGCTGGAGCTACGGCCGCCCGAGGCGCCGCTCCGCTCCCCTGAGGACCCGTCACCGGGCTGCGACCGCGATCGGGACCGGGACCGGGACCGGGAGCCGCCGAGCCCGGAGCCGCCGCCCGCCGCCCGGTGCTGCTGCGGCTGCGGCTGCGCCCCCGCCGCGCCCGCGCCCCCCGAGCGGCTCCTGACCGCGCTCCTCGACCGGCTACCGGCGGCTGCCCACGGGAGGGGCTGCGGGGCAGGTACGGGGCTGCGGGACCCCGGGACGGGCTGCGGGGGTGGCGGCGTGGGGAGCGCGGGGAGCGCGGGCGATGCGGCGGAGCGGGGAGAGACCGACCGGGGGCGGCCGCTGCTTGCGGGGGGATGCGCTGGTGGGTGCTGGGCTGGGAGACAGCGGGTGGGGGACACTCGTGCCCGGTGAGGCGGGTGGCCCTGTGCCCGGTTGGGGTGACAAGGTCAAGGCTGGGTCCCCGCCGGGCCGGTGAGGAGGGGTCGGTGGCAGCGGGGTGGGCAGGAATCTGTGGGGTGGGCAGCGGCTCCCCGGGCTGGCGAGGAGATTTGGGCTCAACGGCAGCGCCAGCTCGGTGGGGCCGGGGGTGGCCGGGCACCGGCAGTCACTGCAGTATCCACCTCCCGCTTGGATGGTCCTTAACATCCTCCCGGTGCTAAAATTAGCCCGGACGGGAGCTGCAGTGGAGGGGGGGCGGTTGGATGCCCCTTTCCTCTGGCACCGGCCTCCCGGTGCTGTCCCGCCGTGGCTGCCCGGGTGCCGGGGTGGTTTCGGTGCCGGAGCTGGGCGGGAGCCAGGCTGGGTGCAGGTGGGTGGGAGCTTTCCCACACCACGGGGATCCCTGTCCCGGCCAATCCCACTCGGCTGCCGGGAACAGAGGGCGTTGGGGACCCCAGGCCACTGCCAGCCCCGTGCTCCGGTGATGCCAGGGCCGGGATTGGGTGCAATCACCCAGAGGAGCCCTCGGGTAGGGGCGAGCTGGGACTGGCAGCGCCAGGTCCTGCCTGCACAAGCACGCTGCCAGGCCTGGTGGTGCCCGGGCTGGCAGGGAGCAGGGGGACAGGAGCCAGCATGGGGGTCCCGACATAGGGAAACATCCCTGTGAGTCTGGGGTACAGTGTGAGTGCTGCAGAGGGATGGGGAAACTGAGGCAGGGCCGGAGGGGGCTGCAGCCTGAAGGGATGGGGGGAGTGTTCAGCTCCCGGCCCACAGGCAGAAGCTGGCAGGGGGCTGCAGCCAGGCAGGGGGCTGGGGGAGCTGGGGGCTGTGTACCTGTGCTGTTGGTGTCCCTACCTGTCCCCGTGCCCCAGACTGCATGTCCTGCTTTTGGCAGCGCTGATGCCCCCGGGGTGCCGTGCCCGGCGCAGGAGCGTCAGGGGATCCTCTGCCCTGGCTTGGCACTGATCCGTGACCGGGTTAACGGTCTGGGGGTGACTGGGGGGATCTCTGCATGGCCCCTCCGTGGGTCAGGTCCTTGGGCCTTAGAAGGGCCATGGGGTCCCACCACAGCATCCCTGGGGCACGTGAGGGCTGTGCTGGTGCCAGCGAGGGCGCGGTGCCTCATCCAAAGGTCACGGCGGTGACTGATGCCCGCTCTGATGGGCACAGACGCCGGTACCCGGCCCTCGGCTCACCTGGCCTCGCCAAAACACCTTCCCAGGGTGGTTCCACCCGTGCTGCCCCGGAGAGCCCGGCTGTGGCACCCGCCCGGCACGCCCCGAGCTGCCTGCCTCAGTTTCCCTTTGCCGTGTCCTGCCGTGCCCGTGGCCGGGCTGTCTCACGGGGCTCCCGGGTGTGCCGGGGCGTCGCGGGCCCGGTCCCGCCCTGCCGGCGCCTCTGCCCCACACCGGCCCGGCCGGGCCCGGCTGCCCCGGGGCTGGGAGCGGGCCCTGAGTCAGCGCTGGCACGGGGGGGTTCGCGTGGGGCCCGGCCTCTCCCGCTGTCACCCCGCAAATCAACATCGCTCCCCTCACCCATCCGCCCCGCCGGGCACGGGGGTGTCGGGGGGCTCTAGGGGGTTGCCCACGCCTGTCCCCCTGTCCCCCCAGAGTCGCTGCTGGATGACATCGTGCTCACCCACTCGCTGTTCCTGCCCACCGAGCGCTTCCTGCAGCAGCTGCACCAGCAATATCCTGGGGGGCGCGGGGGTGGGCACGGGGGTGGGTGAGGAGGGGTCCGGGGATGGGTGTGAGGAGTGCCCTGGGGTTTGGGGAGGGCGGGTACAAGGGTGGTGGGGAGGAGTCTGAGGTTGGGCACGAGGGGGACGTGGGGGTGGGCACGGGGGTGGGTGAGGAGGGGTCCGAGGATGGGCATGAGGAGGGTATTGGGGTGCAGAGAGGGTGGGCATAACAGGGCCATGAAGGGCACATGGTGGTGGCACAAGAGTTGGCATCGGGGTGCAACCAGGAGGGCACCAGGGTGCCGTGAAGCTGGCATGAGGGTGGCCATGAGGGTGACAGAACGGTGGGCATAGGGGCTGCAAGGAGAAGTGGGACATGGGGAGGGCAGCGGGGGTGCTGTGGGGGGCTCACAGGAGCAGCAAGGAGAGAATTGGGGTGCCATGAGGCTGGGCTATGGGTTTGGGTGCAAGGTGGGCAGCGTGGTGCTACCAGGGAGGGCACAACGACCCTCAGTGAGGTCCCTCGGTGCAGCGGGTGCCGGGGGGTGGCCGAGGGTCCCTCCTTGCCGTGGCACCTCCTTGACAGTGCCACCTTCGTGCTGGCGGCGGGCAGCCCCCCGGGGCGCTGGGAGGAAGGCTCGGGGCTGCGGCGCAAGCGGGCGGTGCTGGCAGTGCTGCTGCACTTCCTCGAGACCTACAAGGGGCTGCTGCAGGAGGAGGAGAGCGCTGGGAAGGTCATCAAGGTGGGGGTCCCCTCCCCGTGTCCCCCCCTCTGTCTCCTGCAGGCCCTGACCCCTCTCGCCCCACAGGAGCTTTACCTGCTCATCATGAAGGACACGTCCCTCTACCACCAGCTGGAGGACGAGATCCTCAAGCTGCACCAGCTGGTGGAGACTGTGGAGCTCAAGTGAGAGGAGGGGCAGGGGGTCCTGGGGGTGCCTGGGGTCAGGGGTCCCTGGGGGGATCAGGGGTCACCCACCCAGGGGTTCCCAGGGAGTCCTATAAGGTCCCTGTGGGACAAAGGATCCCCAGGGAGGACAGGGGGTCCTGAGGATGCCTCTGAGTCAGGAGGTCCCTGGGGAGGGCAGAGGGTCCTGGGGGTCCCTGTGGGTCAGGGAGTCCACGAGAAGGACACGGAGTTGTGGCTCATGGGGTGCCCAGGGGCTGGAGGGGTCAGTAGTAGCCCACCCTGGTGCCCTCCTGGTTGCACCTTCACATCCCACTTTGTGCCCCCCACCCTTTGTGCCCTTGCCACAGCACCCTCGTGTCCACCCTCATCCTGTGCCCACCCTCGGTGTGACCCAGTGCCCACCCTCAGTGTGCCCCCGTGCCCTCCCTGTGCCCACCCTTGGTGTGTCCCCCTGCCCTCCCTGTGCCCCCCTGCCCTCCCTGTGCCCAGCCTGCCCTCAGCGAGGCCCTGGGCGGGGGCTGCCGGGGCACCCGCGGGTTTCGGGGTGCAGTCCCGGGGTCTGGGGCCCTGCCTGAGCCCTGTCCTGTGCCCCCCATCCCTCCCCAGGGTGGCCGAGGAGACGCCCCCCCCGAACAAGCAGGTGAAGCCGCTGTTCCGCCATTTCCGCCGCATCGACTCCTGCCTGCAGACCCGGGTGGCATTTCGGGGTTCTGACGAGAGTGAGTGACCGAGGGGGAGCTGAGGGGCAGCTGAGGGGAATTGGGGTCCCCTCCGTGACCCACCAGCTCCGTGCCCTCTGCGGGTCTGCTCAAGGCCCGCTCCGTGCCTCAGTTTCCCCGGTGGGCAGTGCCCGGGGTGGCTGGGGGTGCCCGGCGCTGACCCCCCACCTCTCCCCAGTTTTCTGCCGCGTGTACATGCCCGACCACTCGTACGTCACCATCCGCAGCCGCCTCTCGGCCTCGGTGCAGGACATCCTGGCCTCGGTCACCGAGAAGCTGCAGTACTCGGAGGAGCAGAGCAGCCGCGGGGACGCCCTCATCCTGGTCACCATGGCCTCGTCCGGAGGTGCCCGTGGGGCCGGGGGGCTGCGGGCAGGGCTGGGGGGTCCGCCCGGTGCTGACCCCGCGCTGTGCCCCGCGGCAGAGAAAGCGGTGCTGCAGCCCAGCGAGGAGTGCGTGTTCACCACCCTGGGCATCAACAGCCACCTCTTCGCCTGCACCAGGGACACCTTCGACTCCCTGGTGAGCCCCGCGGTGGGGACAGCCCGGCAGGGACCCCCCGAGCCCCCCTGTGCCAACCGTCCCCACGCAGAGCCGGGGGACCCTCCCGGCCCTGAGTGCCCCGTGCGGTGCCCCTGGCAGGTGCCGCTGCCCGAGGAGATCCAGGTGGTGCCAGGAGACACCGAAATCCACCGTGCCGAGCCCGAGGATGTCGCCAACCACCTCACGGCCTTCCACTGGGAGCTCTTCCGCTGCATCCACGAGGTTTGGGGGGCCCGTGGGAGCCGCCGCGCCGTGGGGGTTGTGGGGTGGGGGGCTCTGATGGGATCTGTGTGTCCCCCCCAGCTGGAATTCGTGGATTACGTGTTCCACGGGGAGCGGGGCCGGCGGGAGACGGCGAACCTGGAGCTGCTGCTGCAGCGCTGCAGCGAGGTGCAGCACTGGGTGGGCACGGAGCTGCTGCTCTGCGAGGGGCTGGGCAAGCGCGCCCACCTGCTCAAGAAGCTCATCAAGATCGCCGCCATGTGAGTGTGGGGCACCGACCACGGGGGGAGCCGCCAGGGGGTCCCTGCGGTGCCCAGCCCACCCCTCACGCTGTCCCCCACCAGCTGCAAGCAGAACCAGGACATGCTCTCCTTCTACGCCATCGTCATCGGCCTCAACAACGCCGCCGTCAGCCGCCTGCGCCTCACCTGGGAGGTGAGGGCTGGAGCGCCCCTGACCCCCGCCGTGCCCCCCCACATCTTCCCGTGCCTTTCTGAACACCCCCAGGTGCTCCCTGACCCTTTCCTGGGTGATCCCAGACCATCCCTGGGTGCTGCCTGACACCACCTGGGTCTCCCATGCTGCTCCTGGGTTCTTTCAGACCCCCCTTGTGTGTTCTTGGAACCCCCCAGGCGCTTCCTTCCCCCTCAATACTCCCAGAACCTCTCTGGGTGCTCCTGGACTGCCCCTGGATGCTCCCACCCCGCTCTCCAGTGCTCCCAGGATTCTCTGGATGCTCCCAGACCTCCCCTGGCTGCTCCCTGGCACTGCCCAAGTGCTCCCAGGACCCTTGGGATGCTGGTGCCCACACCTGGCTGCTCCCTGACCTTTCCTGGGTTCTTCCAGACCCTACTTTGAATGCTCTTGGAGCCCACCAGGACCTCTCACCCTCACCTCAGTGCTGCCAGGACTCCTCTGGGTGCTCCCAGACCACCCCTAGATGCTTCCAGACCTTTCTGGACACCCTCAGATGCTCCCTGACCCTTTCCTGGCCTCTCCCAGAACCTCCTGGATGCTCCTGCCCTCCCCTTTGACACTCCCTGGTCCTGCTGGATGCTGCTACCCTCTCCCCATTTTTGTCTTCCAGAAGCTCCCAGGGAAATTCAAGAATCTGTTTCGGAAGTTTGAGAACCTGACGGTGGGTGAGAGGTGTGGGGGCTGTTGTGGGTGTTGTGGGGGGACCCCAGACCTCCCCTGGGGGTGTTTGGGGTGCTGCTGAGCAGGGGACATTCCCAAGGTGTCCAAGATGTCCTGGGGTGTCCGTGCCCTTCTCCCCCAGGCCACCAGCCCCATACCCATGGCCACCAGCATGGGGGAGAATCCAGGGCACCCCTGGGGAGCCCCCATAAAGCCTGACCCCCCCATTTCCCCCAGGACCCCTGCAGGAACCACAAGACCTACCGGGAGGTGCTGGCCAAGATGAAGCCCCCGCTCATCCCCTTTGTGCCACTCATCCTCAAAGGTGAGGGGGGGTCTCAGGGGCTTCCCCTCGGTGGTTTTTGGGTCCCTCTGGCACCCCACGGGACCCCCCCATCACCTCCTCTCTCCCCCAGATCTGACCTTCCTGCATGAAGGCAGCAAAACCCTCCTGGACGGGCTGGTCAACGTGGAGAAACTGGTGGGTTCTCGGGGGGAATGGGCAGAGGGACCCCCAGGATGGGGGCAGGGGGGAGGGGACTCTGCTGAGGGGCTTCCCCGAGGGTTTGGGGCTCCCCTCTCTGGGGGGTGGGAGGGTTCAGGGGTGCAGAACAGGATCCAGAGGGGGATCCCTGAGGGTGGGAGGCGTGCAGGAGGCTCCTGGAGGGGTCAGTGGTCCCTGGGGAGATGGGGTGGGGTCTCGGGGGGCTGGGGCTGACTCTGGGGTCTCTCTGTGCCCCAGCACTGCATCGCAGAGAAAGTGAGAACCGTGCGGAAGTACCGGAGCCGCCCCCTCTGTGAGTGGGGGGCCGGGGAGGGGCACTGCTGGGGCGAGGGGGGCACTGCTGGGGTTAGGGGGGCACTGCTGGGGTTAGGGGGGCACTGCTGGGGTTAGGGGGGCACTGCAAGGGAGGCCCACACGGCCCTGAACCGGCAGTGCTGGCCCTGAGGGATGGGAATGTGGCCAGAGCATCCTCTACACCTCTTTGTCCATGTCCCCACATCCCCATCCCTCATCCTCGCCTTCATCTCTCCTCCCTTCACCCTGCACCCCTGCATGCCTGGATCTCTATCCCTTCATCCCTGTCCCCACGTCCCCATTCCCATCTGGCCATTCCATCCCCATCCCTGTCCCTTCATCTGCATCCCCTGCATCTCTTCCATCCTTCAATCCCCACTTTCACTCTGCCATCCCCATTTCCCTCCTGCATTCCCACATCCCGTCCATCCCCACATCCCCCACATCCCTCCTATCCTCCCATCCCTTCCATCCCCTCCATCCCCACATCCTGTCCATCTCCACACCATCCTCCCCATCCCCTCCATCCCCTCCATCCCCTTCACCCTCTCCATCCCTTCACCCCCACATCCCCTCCATCCCTTCACCCCCACATCCCCACATCCCCTCCATTCCTTCACCCCCACATCCCCCACATCCCCTCCATCCCTTCACCCCCACATCCCCTCCATCCCCGTCCCCACACTGCACATTCCCATCCCCATCCCTCCATCCCCGTTCCCGTTCCGGGCCGTTCCCAGGCCTGGAGCTGGAGGCGTCCCCGGCCCAGCTGCAGACCAAGGCCTACGTGCGGCAGCTGCGCGTCATCGACAACCAGAACCTGCTCTTCGAGCTCTCCTACAAGCTGGAGCCTGGCAGCCAGTGAGGGGGGGCCCACCCCGGGACCCCCAAACCCCGGCACCCCCCCGGGGGGCCCGGAGCCCCCCAGCACTGACGCACTTTGCCCAGCCCCGGCCCTTGGGTGCTGCCCCCACCCTTGGGGGGGGGGGGGGTTGGTTTGGGGACCCCCTGGCGCACCCCTCTCCCCCTGCCCCCCACCCTGGCTGGGGCACAGGGGCCCTCATCCCCTCTATTTTTGTATGTGTGGCCCTCCCCCCGCCAGACGTGTATATTTTGTACCGCCGCTGTCCGGAATTGTACATTTATTTTTTAAGAAAAAGGAGGAAAAAAGGCAAAAAAAAAAAAACAAACCAAAAACAAAGAAACCAAGCTGGGGGTGGGGCGGGGAGCCCCAATAAAAGTCTGTCCCGGCACTTGTCTCTGACGTCATGCTAGGGGTTGAGGTCACTTGTCTCTGACGTCATGCTAGGGGTTGAGGTCGTGGTGGGAGTGACGTCACAGGCCCGCTGTCGGTGACGTCACTGGTGGGTGGAGACGACCTTCCCAAGATGGCGACAGCGCCGAGCCAACCTTTGACCTTCCAAACATGGCGGCCGCAAAGGCTTCCGCCACCCTCCCACTATGGCGGCCGCTGGGCTCAGCCGACCTCCTCAATATGGCGGAAAGGGTGGGTGAGACAGGCGGCGTAGCCGCGCCCTGTCACAGCACCAGGGACCTTCGTTTCGGCACAGAGCGGGGAATTTCTTCCCGGTGCTGCCGCTCTGCCTTCGGTCACCGGGACACCGCGGCACTGGGTGCTCACGGAGCCGCCGTGTCCTTCCCGATACGGCGATGACGGGCGCGTCCCTCATGGCCGCCCGACCTCCTCATCATGGCGCTGCCGCCCCGCCGTGCCCCGCCCACATCCGGTGCGGCCGCGCAGGCGCGGAGGGGCCAGGGCCGCCATTTCGTTCGGCGGGGCCGGGGCCGGGGCCGGGAGGAGCCGCGGGTGAGCGGGGGAGGGCCGGGGGGGACCGGCGGGCCGGGCCGGGGCTGGCGGGGCTCGGGGGGCCGGGACTGCGGCCGCGGGGCGCCTGTGCGGGGTGTGCCGGCCTGGGGTGGGGGCGTGGGGCCTGTGCCGAGCGCGGGACCGGCGGGGCGGGGGGTGCGCTGAGGCCTGCGCGGATCCGGGGGTGCCCGGGGCCGGCTGTGGGGTGACAGGGACCGGCGAGGCCGGGGGGGCTGCAGCCCCCACACATGGAGCCCCCGGACTGTCCCACCCTGACCGCTGGGCCGCCTGTGAGGTCTCCCAGCTCCTGACCCCTGGGTCACGTCAGGGACCCTTCCCCAGAACTGCCCTGGACCCCCAACTTGGGTGTGCCCAGAACGTGCGGGTCTTCGGGCTTGTGACCCCACTACCATGGCGATCCTCACTCTGACCTCTCGGTCTCCTCTGAGAGCCGTCCCCAGGACCTCCGCTGAGACCCCCGTGCTGTCCTTGACCCCTCCACCCTGACCCTTGAGTAACGTGTGGGACCCCTCCCCAGGACCCTCCTGTACCCCCACTCTGGGTGTGCCTGCAGCTGGCAGGACCCCCTGGGATCCCCACCTGACCTCCTGGACTTTGCTACCCCTCCTTGGACTCCTGTCTTTGGCTTGGCTGGAACCAGCGGGGCCAGGGGCCTGGGACCCCCACTGTGACTCCTGGCACCCCTCTGAGCCTCCATATTGATGCCCTAGACCCTTCTGCCCCTCCCCAGGACCCCCCTGGACCCCCAGACTGGTGGAGCCCAGAAATTATGGGGCTGGGTGCCTGGGGTCCCACCATAGGGACCCCCAGCATGGAGGCTCTGACCCCAGAGTGTCCCCTGATGCTCCCTCTATGGTCTCTGAGACCCCCACCATGACCCCATTGACCCTTCCCCCCTAACTCCTGGGTCACCTCAGGGTCCACTCCCCAAAACCCCCTTGGGGCTGTCCAGAACCATCAGAATCAGGGGGCAGGGGCCCCCAGTGTGACCCCTGTGTCTACCCAGGACCCCTCCACCCTTCTCAGGATCCCCCTGGACCCCCTCTATGACCCCTGGGACCCTCACCCTAACTCCCAGGACCCCAAACTGACTCCCTGGACTCCTCCACTCTTCCCAGGACCCCCTGGACCCTCGCCCTCGGGGTGCCCAGAACCAGTAAGGGCTGGGGGTGCTCTGGGGCCTGTCAGGACAGGGGAGACCCTATTTTGGGGTACAGAATGAGGGGCAGACCTTTTTGAGCCTGTAGTGGCTTAGGGACGACCATGGACACAGAGTTCCATGGAATCCTGGAGTGGCTTGAGTTGGAAATGACCTGAAATCCCATTTTCCACTGGAAGGGGTTGTTCCAAGCCCCATCCAAGCTGGAACACTTCCAGGGATGGGGCAGGCTTTTCAGGACAACGCTGGAGCTGAGTTGTTCCTCCCGCTCCAGGGAAACACATCCAGGATTTCCCGGTCCAACGGCGTTCCCGAGCACCGTGCGGGAGGCAGCGCGGGTGGGAAGGCCGGTGCACCGGGAGCACATCCCGCTGCGGGATCCCGCTGCTGGGATCGCTGCACCCGGAATTCCCAGCTCCGGCCCGAAGGAAGCGGGAAGTGCCCGCGTCTCCTGCCGCTTCCTCCCGCTGGAACAATTCAGCGCTTCCCGCCCAGCCCCTCTGTTCCTGCCCAGCCCCTCGTGTGCCACCTCTCCCTTCCCGGCTGCCTTTTGCCTTTTCGGAACAGGGGGAGCGGCAGGGGAGGCTGCGGGCCTGGCAGGACGGGCTTTTCCTGCTTTTCCCTTTGCTGCAGCGGAATTTCGGGACTGGGCGCCTTGCTCCTGATTAAAGGTTTCCTCTGCTGAGTGACCTGAGATGAGCTGGGAGCAAGGGACAGACTGAGCTGCGGGTTCTGTGGTCGGGGATGGGAAACTGAAGCTGTGGAAACTGGGAATGGGAAAACTGAGGCCAAGGAAACTGGAGAGGAAAACTGAGGATGTAGAAGCTGATGGATAGGGAAACTGAGGTTGTAGAAGCTGTGGGTGGATGGGGAAACTGAGGCTGTGGAGCCCATCTCTGAGGAATTAGAAACTCTGGACTTGGGGGTTTTTGTTAAAAATGCCTCGTCAGAGCCCGCGGGTCGTTAATAATTCACAGGGAGCGTCTGGATCCCGCGGGGCCGGAGCGTGTCTGTCTGTCTGCACGCAGGGATGCTCCAAATGGAGCTGGGCTCCAAATGGAGCAGCTCGGCTCGGGAAGCATGCTGATAGGATTTTAAAAGCCTGAATGACCTTAAATCCTGCGATGGCTGTCGCTCAGGATAAATTATTTATGTAGCATCCTCAGCTCCTCGGGAGCGGGCAGGAATGTCAGGCTGCGGAGGACAGGGTTGGAATTTGGGAGGGGGGAAAGAGGAACTGCGGGTTTGGATGGGAAGAGAGGGAAGATAAAGGCGCGGGGGCGGGTGTTGGAGAGGTCCAGCCTTGGAAGTCGTTCCCAAACCGGTGCGGCCGCATTTCTGCACCGACATCAGAGGGTGGAAATTCCTCTTGATCTGCAGTTCAAAGCCTCCCTGAGGATGAGGCGCTGCAGCTCGGGCTTGCAAATGTGAAATACAAATCCGCCCGGAGCCCAAATCCCCCTGAAAAGCGAGGAAATAGGCGGCTGAAGGTCACTGCTGCTGCCTGTCCTGCTCCAGCAGCAATCCCCCGGGATGGGGGCTGCTGCTGGGGAGGGCGTTTCAATTCCCTCCACAGCAAACAGGGACTTGAAAAATGCCTGGAAAACATGGCTTGTCTCCCAGGCTGGGCTGGATCTGCCCAATCCTGCTGCTTTTAGGGGACAAGGGGCAGCTGAATGTCAAGTTCTTGGGATTTAGTAATGTTTTGATCCCACGGTTGACAGGGAGGTGCTGATCCAAATCAATGCTGAGGCGTCTGTGGCCATGGTGGGCTCTAGCGTGTGGAACAGCAGCTCTGAAGCAGTTTTCCACAGGGTGACCTCGATCTCCTGATCTCTCCCTCCTCCCAAGGGACAGCTTTTCACACCTTGTTTTCCTCCTGCTTTGCTCAGAGCTTTCCTGAGGTTTGGTTTGGATTGGAAAAGCAAAGGCACTGTGTAAACCTGCCCCTCCTGCCTCAGCCCAGCTTTTATCCACTGGTGTCTCTAGATTCAGCTCTTCCCAGCCTCTCTCCCTGCGAGCACAGGGAGCTGCCACCACGGCACTTGGAGCCCTCAGAGGCTCTGATGTGTCTTGGTGGAAGGGTCCTGGTAAGGAAGAACAAAGGAGAAGGAGCACAGAGAAGTTGGAGTGTTGTTCACAGGGATAGCTTCTGCCAGGCATGAAGGGGTGCTGGGAAGAGAACTCCCCCCTTTTTTCTTTTCCTGAAGGATTTAGCTCCTGTCTTCCTAATCTGTATCAGCTGGGTCTGTCTTCTTGCACATGAAAGATCCAGGCTGTATTTCAAAGGCACTGTTCCCACTCGGAGCTCTCAGCTTTTCCCAGCCTTGTGCTGAGTTCGGGGCCTCTCGATTTTGGTTTTTCAATGTGACCTTTGCTGTTAATCCCCAGCCCGAACGGGGCCGTGCACCGAAATGGAATGACCTGTTTCTTGGGAATTCAGCTCCAGTTTATCCTCAAGCTGCTTTAGCTTAAACTCTTCTCTCCTTTCCTCTCGCTCTTCTAGGTCAGATCCTGGATCTGAGCGCAGGTTTTGCTGTAAGGGCACCTTAGAGGGGAGATAGTGACTGGTGATCTGTTTGTAGAAATAACCCCCTTGTCCTACAGATCCCTGTGGATTGTCTGGAGCGTGTCACAGAGCGTCAGCAGGTCACACTGAGAGACCCCAGCAGTGCTGGCCTGGCACGGGTGGCACTGGGTGGTTTGTGCCAGCTGACAAATCCCTGTTTGTCTGTCTGAGATGCGCCGCTGTCGCAGGGGCCACCGAGGGAAGTGTCACCCTGGGAGTAATCTGCTGGCACAGGAGCAGAGCGGGGACACAACGTGTGACGTTCCCGTGGGTCGGAAGGTGGTGGCCCTGGCATCACTCCTGTGCTGGCTCAGGGCTGTGACACACGAGCCCGAGTCAGGAGTCTCATTACCTGGCATGTTCCTCAGCTGGATCCCTGCTAATTCCCTCCGGCAGCTGATCCAGCAGGGCTGCGGCTCTGCCCGGAGCCACTCGTGCCACAGTGCCCTGTGATCCCACTGCGGGTGGGAAGGAGCGCAGGGAAAAGCGTTCCTGTTCCAACACGTCCCAGCCGAGCGCGCTCAGAGCAGTCTGTGATCCTGCTCCAGTGGGAAAGGCAAAGGCCAAGCCAGGATGGGTTTGCTGGGGTTTGCTGGGCGTTGTTCCCAGCTGGAGTGTCCGGAGGGATCGATGGACGTGGGCTCCTGGGCGGGAGGCCTCGAGCTCGGGATGGGGC